TATTACAACAACAAATCCATCTCTTGTTGACTTCACATTAAACCGTATGCCAGTTGCTAAATGCCAAAATCTAGCACTACAACCCATGTCTAAGCAAAAGCTTGTCGAGGAGCGAGGGGAAGAAGGGAGAAGAGTATCTATTGGAATAAGTCTAAGATAGATTAGCAATGAATCCACAGCGTGAGCGAAAGGCTACCTGTATGCCTACGGTTTCCCAGACAGCAGATTTTGGGATTAGCAACTGACACGAGTTTAATGTGAACAAAAACAACAACAACAACAACAACAGATTCCGCCACCGAACCTTGAAGACAGATGTTGTTGCTCCGAAAGTTCTTCGAAATGGTAAAATAAAAAAAAAGTAGCGAATAGACTGAAACGCGGCGTAAAAATGAATAGACTATGAGATGGCAGGAGACGCTCCTCCTCCCACAATCCACGCAACATCTTCATGAGCGATACCGGAGGCGCCAACACAGACAGCAGCGCAGCAGGCGCAGGAGGCGCCACGGGCGTGGCGGGAAGCTTTGTTTTGCCCCGGCAGTTCCTCCCCAGCAAGCTGTTGGCGGGAGTGCACACGCAAACATGAGGACTCCTCCGGCGCCACCACAGCATCTCTCGCACCTTCAGCCCCAGCAGCAGCAGCAGCAGTACGTAGGCATCGTTGCTGCCGCTGCGGCCGCCGCCGCTGCTGCTGCGGGTTCCCCGGCGTCAGCTCCGCCAGTGTTTTTTCCTGGATCTGCTGGATTTCCCCCAGCGCGCGGATTGTCCATCCCTCAGGTGGCCCAGGCGCGCATGCTTGCAGGATGGACCACACCGCCCCCGTCTCCGCAATGGCCGGGGCCGGGAAACCTGCCGGCGCCCGCGCCAGGCCAGAATCGCTGCCGGCGCTCGCGCCAGGGCGGGAATCGCCGACGGCGCTCGCGCCAGGGTTGGGATCGCCGCCAGCCTTCCCGCCAGGGCCGGGATCGCTGCCGGCCCTCGCGCCAGGGCCACTATCGTCCGTGCAACTCCTACCTTCGCCCCCAACATTACCGCCCAAGCCCATCCGGTAGGAGCAGCCGGACTATGCCGACTGGTTGCTCCCGGCATATCAAAACGGACATGAAGAGGCGTGCGGAGGCAGCGGGCCACAAGGGAGCCTTTCGGTACGGTGATGGTGTCAACGAGGTCAACACGTCGATTTCGAGCGTGAAGAAGCCAGAAGCTAAGCTGTTCCTGGCCCAGGACGCGTGGTGTATCCAAAGGTGTCGACCCTGATTGGAATCAAGCTTCCCAGGGCACCCCGCAAGCGAAAAGGGTGGCGAAGGAAACGATGGCGAAGCTTGCTGCCGAGGAGGAAGAGCGCACGAGGAGATGCCGTTCCAGCGGGGATGCGGCAAGGTTGTGCTTCATCGTGTTCTCGGACGAGATGTATGAGAAGGTCCTCACCAGCGAACAGGCGCCCACGGAACGAAACAAGCGCGATAACCATGCCATTGGGGTGAACGATCCAGATGGGGTTGAGGATGAGATTGTTGACCACTTGGTAAACGAAAATTTGAGGCTCGGTGGGGTGCGCGCTGGCAACCCCAAATCACACGACGGCAGCACTGCACCCGGAGTGCCCAAGATGTGGGAGGCGCTTCAATCGCTCGACTATGACGATCCAGCGAAAAAGTGAATTTGTGATTTCGATAGTATGTCGCACATTTGAGACATACACGTTGTGCTGCTGGCTCGCTTATTTCACATGTAAAGGGCAGGTGCCCCGGGAGTTGCGGCTGTTTCTTTTTCCTTTCCCCCGCGGAATCCAGCTATTGTTTGACTTGCTTTGAAAATGGGCTTCGCAGGTTAACAGCAGGAATGCCAGCTGCCAGGTCTTAATTTTTGCCACGTATTTTTTCAATTACGGGGGCGCTGGTTTCTTGGCTTATGGTGCAGTGCCTTATGTGAGTTCGTCGTTCAAATGTCTCGCTGTTGTTTTCAGGTGGAGGGAAGAATGGACGTCCAAGGATGGGTTGCGGAAGGGAGAGCTGGACAAGGCCCGCGCCCGCGAGGTTAAAGGCTGGTGGACGGACATGCGTGCGGAGTTCAGGGTGAGTTTCGGACAACGGTCCACGGAGGGTGGATTTGGTATTTTCCGACTCCCTTTAGAACTGCTTGCGCAAGAACCCCACCTCCGTGTTTCGACAGGAATATTGTTGGTAGCCACCTTCGTTGGGGACGCAGTGGATCTTTCCTGCGGTTCAAGTTGGGTTCAAGAAACCCGCCCCGTCCAGGCGACCGTCTACCCCTCCTGTGTCCCATCCCCTGATCTTTTTTTTTTTTTTCCGGGTGAGGGGGGCGGGTTCAGCATTCCTGCATGCCGGGTGCTGTTGTTACAGAACGAAAGCCCACCCCCCGTCTTGTTATTTATATTATTCTCTGCAGTAGTGTTAGTTGGTCAACAAACCGCCCCCGTCCAGGCGATCGTCTGCCCTTCTCTGCCCCATGCCCTGATCTGTTTTTTTTCGGGCGCGGGGGGCGGGTTCAAGATGCATACTATGTGTCGGGTGCTGTTACAGAACAAAACCCCACTCCCCCTCTTGTTTTTTTCCCCTATTTTTTTGTCTGCAGTGGTAGTTGGTCGACCAACCAGCTCCGTTCAGACGACCGTCTGCCCTCCTCTGCTCCGTCCTCTGGTCGTTTTTTTTTTTTGGGGGGGTGGAACGGGTTCAACGGGCATATGTGCCGGGTGCTGTTTCAGTCCAGTAGCACACGACCCGAACCCTCCAGTTATTATTTTGTGTTTTTTCGGTGCACGCGGCGGTGCAGTACTTGTTCGAAACATTCACCCCGCCCAGACGACAGCCTCCCATAGTGTGCTCCTTCCTGGTTTGTTTTGACGTCGGGTGCGGGCTCACGTGTCGCGTGCTTGCTTCATCGGTACCTATCTGACATATTCCCGTACGTTGTGTGCTGGGTGAACGTTGTAAATGTAGGCGTCGCTCATCGCTGGTGGGGTCTATAACGCGTTTGATGTCCGTTGGGGAAAGAAAGTTGGGACGGTCAGAAATATGTTTTCCCGAACCCCAACTCCTTACATCTTTTGTAACCCCTCTTTTCACACGAACTCATGTAAATATGCCGTGCATGTTTTCCAGATCGCCAAGAAGAACAAAGAGAAGAGTGGGAACAACGCTGAACACTACTGGTCCTTCTGTAACCAGAAACTGTACGTCCTGCTCGTGATGGACTGGTACGAGCTGAGGGGAGGCGACAGCGCGAACGAACACTGCGCAAGGTACTTACTTCAGCGTGAGGCTCAGCGAGGAGGATGAGGAAGCTTTCAACACTCTGTCCATGGAAGACGAGCAGCCGTCCAGCGATTCGGATGAACTGCCCGCTCCGAAGGGGAAGCCGCGAGATCGGAAGGCGAGGGAGAAGGTAAAACTTGCGATGTACAAGATTGTGAACAACGACGCCGGGAATCCCGTGGATATGTTGATTGCTGCCAGCGATCGCGTTGATGACTTGGAAGAGAAGTTGGAAAATGCGAAAGAAGCAGAAGCAAAAATTACAAGGATCACTCAAAACCTCTCAGTAGCGCGGGAGGCGTACGAAAAAATCTACAAAAAGACCAGGCCTGCTGCAGAGAAAGCGGCGGAGGAAGAGGAGGAAGAAGAGGAAGAGAGTGAGGTTTCGTAGCGATATCTCGTGAAGGCCCTTCGGACGAACCAAACCTGACTTCTTCCAACGACGCATGAAGAGGATGTCTTGTCGTTTCGGATTTGATTCACACGGCATAGGTTGGGTACATGCATTTTTTTGAGTATGGCTAGTTTTTTTTCCGTTGTGTGCATCACGAAGGTAGGGCACTGCTCGTATGTTCTTTGAGTGTGGACGGCGCATGGCGTGATCCACCCCTCCAGCATGTCTTTCTTCTTTCGGTTTCGGCGGGGGAACATTAGAAGTTTGTTGTTCAGTGAGGGACCAGGGTCTTCTCTGTCGGGCGTTTATGTGCAGGCGTACGCATTTTTGGCTGCCGGAGAGCTGAGCCCAGAGACCAGAGACATTGGTTCGGAGGGTATTTCATTTTTGTCACTTAGCTTCGAAAATATGATATGGGATTTGAATGTGTAGGAAAGTACAAACAGTAGTGCGGGCTAGTAAGCCCGGAGGAAAGTGCGGGAGATGCAACTCCCCACGGAAGGAAAAAACAGGGGACAGGATCTAGTAGCCCCTGCTTGAGCAGCTGATGCTGGCCCTATCCTTGACAGAGTCCTTTACCTTCCCTTGGCAACAGCTACTGCTGTTCCACACGAGTTAATAACAAGTGAGTTCGTCTTCACGAGTGTCCCAGATTGCACCGCGCGTGCATATCCTTTACATTTGGCGTTGTCGGCATAAACGTACAGCGTGCTTTCTGGGGTTTGTGTTTGGGCGACTCGAACCTGCTGCACGCAGCTTCCTTCGCTTTCGTCTCCACACAATTTAGCTTTGCCTCGCTGATCGGTATGTCTCACTTAGCGTCGGCTCCTCGGACCCGGCTTCGGCCAGTCCAGAGCCCTCAGAGTGTTCTCGCTCGCAGGTGTCTCCACACAGTGCTTCGGCTTTCGGGCCGACAGCCGACGATTCCCAATCGTCGTTGTTGCCGTCTTTTGATGGCGCGAGTGCTGCTGACCCCATCGCAGAAGCCACCCGTTTGTCAGAGCTTCGCGCTCAACGCCGACGGGAGGAGTTCGCCTCCACGGCTTCTACTGACGCTAACCCCGTGGGTGCTGTCCTCAAATTGCCTGCACCCACAGCAGAAGCTTCGGTTTCCACCTCTGTCCTTTCGAGTACCCAGCCTTCTGTTTTTACAGCCGCTGGTGGTGTGTCCCAAGTTTTCCCGCCGGAACCACATGTTGCTTATTCCTTATTCCACTTTTCCCCTCACCTCCACCGCCGCTGAGCCTTCTGCTGTTCGGNCATTGCCTGCACCCACAGCAGAAGCTTCGGTTTCCACCTCCGTCCTTTCGAGTACCCAGCCTTCTGTTTTTACAGCCGCTGGT